TAAATTTTACAATAGTGGTGGGGGGTGAAAAATTAAATTTCTTAGATTTGACCTTAATAAAAATGACAATAAATTATTATACAATTTTTATCAAAAACTTGTATTCTCGTACAGGTATTTAAACTTTTTTTCATGCCATCCATCATGCCGTAAAGTAGGCACAATCATATTAACTGACAGAGTATTATTATTATCACGTCTTACCAGTATTAGAACGTATATAGATAAAAGTATCTAGATACTTTAGCGCTCTCTCTCTCTCTCTCTCTCTCTCTCTCTCTCTCTCTCTCTCTCTACCAATGTGCATTACCTAGATCCTTACAGGCGGAGATACCTATATCCGTATCTACCTTCACAGCACATCAATATTGAAATAAGGTTACAGTAACTTTAAATTGTAAGATTGTAACATTAAACGGAGATTAATAAACCTATCATTATAACCTCCCAGTAACATAAATGATCGTCCAAATTGATTACATTAACATCCCAGAAACCTTGCATGATAGGTTGTATTAATATTCCTACAATGTGCCAAGAACCTTATAAGATTGTAACATTAAACGGAAATTATTAAACCTACCATTAAAACCTCCCAGTAACATGAAAATGATCTTCCAAACTGATTACATCAACATCCCAAAAACCTCTGGTTTAAATATCCCGTCGTTGTATATATTCATATATATTGCTAAAATGAGTATTATTATTGATTAATATCTTATTCCAGAATACATATCATAAAATTATGATTAAAAAAAATTTTTCCCTGAATTCGGAAACTAATTTCATAGTACTTCGAAGCGGTCACCCATTCGATTGCATACCGCTATTTACTATTCTTGACTTCTGAAATCGTTTGGAAACCGCTGCACTTCAATGATCCACGAACACCTGTATAATCATGGGTGTATAGCGATGATACATCTCTTCAATATATGGTCCTGATAGAAATTTGTGCAGTTCAACTGAACATCTAGTCAATTACTATCTAATATTTAATTTTAATGTTATAACGACTATTTTCAGGTTAAGCAATCATACGCTGTACTTTCGCAATACATATTTCGCATTACCGCATGCTTGATTATCTGGGTATATATATATTAGTATAATGAGACTGCGTGTCCAAAATTTATTGCCAGTACCAAAAATCTATAGAGCGATTATATTCATAAGTTGAAATATTGGACGAGTTCAAGACGGCAAAGTGGCTAAGTACGCTTGCCGAGCAATCGAATATGATTGGTTGGATCTATAAATAACAACCAATTATGTTCATTTGCTCGGCGAGCAGGCTAGCCGCTTTGTCAACTTGAACGTGCCCATTGACATAAGATTCCATTAACCTTCCAACAATATTAAAATATAAGGTTCATACAAGGTTGCTAAAATATTGATACAAGATTCCATTAACCTTCCAACAATATTAAAATGTAAGGTTCATGTAAGGCTGAAATATTAACATAAGATTCCCTTAACCTTCCAACAATATTATAATATAAAGTAAGATTACATTGTAAAGTTAGTGGCATACACCAGTAACCTTTCCACAAAACTATGTAAGATTGTAACTATCCTGTAATCTTAATGTAATATCCGATGCTGTGAGGGTATAGTTATTTTTTGGTACGGTATGTTTTAAATTTTAGATACATAAGTACACACGGTACTTATGGTATACATTTTATTTTATGTCATATTGGATACTTTCCAGTGAGAAATGACAATGAAATCGACGTCGAATCGACGTCGATTTGACGTCAATTCGATGATTTCGATGTCGAATCGACATCGATTCGACGTCGATTCCATTGTTATTTCTCACTGGGTTAATTTTTGATTACTGTACTATAAATCATCTTTCTTTTCTAATTCTTAACTTTGTACAAGGTTATTTTATTTGTTTCACCGCCCGGGTGAAGAAAAGTTTTACAAAATTTTATATTAGTTATATAAAATTATATAAAATTATATATAATTATACAGAGTGTCCTCGGTCAACGGGATCGCCTCTCATGAGCTAGTACAGCGAACCGAACTGAATCGAAAAGTCCTTTACCATTTACAAGCGACCGCGACCAATGAGCGTATATTTGGTGATAGTCCGCGCCGATAAGTGCTTATTTAGTGACATTTAGAAATTAATATCTCCTAAAGTATTGAAAAAATTGTAAAATGGTAAAAGACTTCTCAACTCAATTTAGTTCGCTCACAAGAATAAATGATCTCGTAGGTCAGGACATCCTACCCAGCAAACACAAATACATAATAATTATATTGCTTTTATATAACAGATAATATAACGTGTGCATAACACTCTACGTTAGTTGTAATTGCCTACTCACGAATCATTACAGCTAAGTAATATAAATATAATAATAATATAAATATAATATATAACTTAAGATATTATATAATAGTCATATAACAGTTTCATAATTTCCGGCGTTATTGTTATAAAATTGTAATGTGATTGTTATGTTGCTATATTAGGTGCACAACTTTGCTTCCGCCGTTTTTTTTACGAAATTTGAAGCTTTATTGTAAAAAAACTGGTTATACATTTATGATTCAAAGTATTGTCCATCGCTGGCCACTACTTTCTCCCATTTTTTGGGCAGCGTACGAATCCCGCGTAGAAAAAGCTGGTCATCTTTTGAGGTAATCCACGAATCGATCCACTTTTTTACTTCTTCATATGATCGGAAGTGCTGATCAGCCAGGCCGTGTGCCATTGATCGAAACAAGTCAGAAGGAGCAACGTCTGGAGAATACGGCGGGTGGGGTAGGACTTCCCATTTCAACGTTTCCAAGTATGTCTTGACCACTTTCAAAACATGGGGTCGAGCATTGTCATGCTGCAAAATCACTTTATCGTGTCTCTCATTGTATTGCGGCCATTTATCTTTCAATGCTCGGCTCAAACGCATAAATTGCGTTCGATACCGATCGCTTGTGATTGTTTCAGTCGATTTTAACAGCTCATAATACAATACGCCGAGCTGGTCCCACCAAATACAGAGCATGACCTTGGAGCCGTGAATATTAGGTTTGACCGTCGACGTGGAAGCATGGCCGGGAACTCCTCATGATTTTCTGCGCTTGGGGTTATCGTAATGAACCTATTTTTCGTCCCCAGTCACAATGCGATGCAGAAATCCCTTCCGTCTTTGCCTTTCAAGCAGCTGTTCACAAGCAAACAAACGCCGTTCAACATCTCTCGACTTCAACTCGTACAGCACCCAATTTCCTTGCTTCTGAATCATTCCCATGGCTTGTTGAGTCACTCTCAATGATCGTGTCAATTCTTCTTGATTTTGACACGAATCTTGATCAAGTAATGCCTCCAATTCTGCATCTTCGAAAACCTTCCCTCTTCCACCGCTATGCCGACGTTAAAATCACCATTCTTGAAGCGTTGAAACCACTCACAACACGTTCTTCCACTAATAGCGGCCTCACCATAAGTATTTGAGATCATTCGATGAGCCTCAGCCGCAGATTTCTTCATATTGAAGCAGAAAATTAAAACCTCCTGCAAATGACGAGAATTTAGCTCGTAAACTGACATTTTCAATCGAGAATAACTTTATGATGCAGACACAAATCAACTAATGTTTCTATGGGATTATGTTAACAGATGCCCAAGTTTTTTGTATGACGTCTATGATCTATTTATTTCGACCACCACTTACAGCTAAAGGAAAACCATCTATAGGAAAACGGCGGAAGCAAAGTTGTACACCTAATATGTTAGTTTGTGTTTGCTCTGATGAAGGCTCAAAAATGAGCCGAAACACGTAAGCGCGTTTGTTAAATAAAGAAATTTCAAGCTTCATAAGTGTATTATTTGCGCGACGTTTTCTGCGCCTGACTCCTAAAGCCCGTATTCTTTCCAATTCTTAGAATATATATGATTATAATTATTATAAGTAATAATTAATAAGAAAACGTTCTGATAATGTTTTATATTGATCAATTAAAAACAAAGAACGTAATAATTATTGGAAATAATTGTACTGTACACCCAAAAAAAAAATAATTTTAATATTAGCAGAAACCACTAAATTTTAGAGGATTTTATTCTTATATACGGCCTCAAGAGGAATCTTCTGAAATCGAGAGAAAAATATGCTAAGCACAATATTCTTACAGTTAGAGTACTTTCGTTTTGCATCTGCAGTAAAAATCTTGCTGTTCCTAATATAATTTACTCGTAAGAGGGCACTCCACTTTCAGTAAATATATTCCTCTTCATACAATAGGAAAATTGTTAGAATAATTTCCAATACATTTTTGATGAATAGTCCAGTGCATTGGAAGAGGAATACTCTTTCTGTAAAAGTTTCTGCTTAGAATATGAGGTTACCGGAAATTTCACTTTACAATTAGATTATCTTT